AATCAGTCACTCAGTTAATTCCCAACCCGATGGAAAAGACTGAATTCCCCATCTGTGGAAAACGAGTGAATTTCCAACCCAATGGAAATAATTCCCAAACTGTGGAAACTGGTTAATTCCCAAACTGTGGAAAATTAGTTAATTCCCAACCCAATGGAAATTAGTGAATTCCCAATCAGTTGGAAATGAGTTAATTCCCAACCTGTTGGAAATAATTCCCAACCTGTAGGAAACAAGTTAATTCCCAACCCGATGGAAATTAGTTAATTCCCAACCTGTGGGAAATGATCCGTGGTGGAAAATAACCGTGGAAATGCGGTGCTGGGACACGTGGGAAAAATCCAGCAGAACAAGTCCAGGGAAAATCAAACTCCCCTCCCAGGGAATGCATTCCAATGCGGAACTGGGGAGAAGGATTCAATTCCTTTTAAATTCTAGGGAATTCCCATTTTTAGTCCAAATTCTTGAATGTTTCCACAAGGCACTTCAAGGATATTTTTTTTTAAAAGGGATAAAATCACCTGGAGGAGCCTGGAATTCCTGCCTTTTTCCAGCTTTTCCAAATCCCTCCACGTGGCTTAGGAGGGATGAGGGAAGTTTGCTGGAGTTTCATCCCAAATTCCTTTGGCATTTGGTGTGGATCAACATTCCACAAATAAATATCCCTGTTTATTTCATTGGAACAACTGGACACGGAGTTTTCATTTCCCCTGGGAAGGGAATTGAGGAAAATCCAGAGATTTTTGGTAAAAAAGCAAGAAAACTCCTTTCCCTGTGCCACTCCAGCATCCAGCATCACCCATTCCAAGGGTTCAGCCAGAGGATCCCGTGGAATTTTGGCATTCCATCCCCTTTGGAATGCAGTTTTCCCAAATTTCCCACCATTGGAGAAGACGGGAGGATTTCAGTTCAAAAGTTGAACGACCTGGAATAATCCTGGGAAGATTCCCGATGTTTTTCCGGGCTCTCCAATCCCAGCTGGATTCCCCTCCGGTCACAGCAGCTCCCAAAGTAAATAAACTCTGGAATTATCAGCAATGATCTCCAAAGGAATTCGTTTTTTCAGGAATATTTTTATTATCAAGCAGAATAAAATCAGTGATTTATATTAATTTAATAAAACCTTTGGAAAAACAATTCCAGTGCTTATAAATATCCCGAAAATCCCGCTCAGCGTTCCCAAGGATTGATTTATCCCGTATTTAACCTGTTCATCCCAGATTTTACTGTGATACCCCAAATTCCAGCAGCTCCCAAAGTGCAGCAGTCAGACCTTGGCAAAGGCAATTAAAGGAAATTAATGGAAGACCCGTGGGATTATCCAGGAAAATATTCCCAAAGAATAAAGTGTGTGTTGCGTTCCTGCAGGGAAATCCAAGAGGAAAACCTGGATCTGGAAAAGCCTGGAGCTCCAGGCTCCTCCTGCAAAATCCAGGAGCAGCAGGGAAGGAACACAAGGAACAGCAGAGGGAAAATCCTGGGAATTCATTAAAATTCCAGGCTGCTTTTAACCCTGGAGCTGTCCCAAATCCTGCTTTTCTCCACAGATCCCAATCCCAAAACATTCAAACCTTTTCCTAAAGGATCCCAAATCCTGGGAGGGTGGGTGTGGACCTCTCCCACCTCCCACCACAAATCCCAGGATCCAGGATGGAATTCCTTCATTCCTAATTCCTTAATTCCATCCTCCCCGCTGTGGAAACTCAGAATTCCCACAGCAATGAACTTCCCAGGATTTCCCGGAATGAGACCCTGGCAGAGCTTTCCTGCAGGAACATCTCATTGGGGATCTCCTGGAATCCCTTTTACTGGATAAAGAGCAAAAACAGTGGGAATTAAACGGGGAGGGAAACCCCAGTCGCCCCATCCCACTTTTCCAGGCACTCGGGCTGAGTGCAAGGCTTGGCATTCCAAAGGAATGCCACATCCAAGGGGAAATGGGAATTAAGGAGTGCTTGGCTTCACCGGGAATCTCCCAGCTGGCGATGCCAGCATTCCCTTGATCAGACCTGAGGGATCCCAGATTTTTTTTGGGAAGCATGAATGCTTCCCTCCCTTTTCAGGGATCAAATCCCGATTATTTGACGCTTTCCCTGTGGATAACAACGCGATGGGAAGCATTTCCCAGCCCATCCACGGGTAAAACCAGTGCAGTTTTCCCTTGGGAAATTCCCAAAGAAATATTCCCAGGCGATCCCATTCCCCAGCGGACGCCTCTGGGATGGGACTGCTCCCGGGAAGCCGAGGCAATCCCGGCTTTAGTGGGATTT